AAATTTGCAATTTGGCCAATTTCACGAAAACTAAAAAATATGACAATTTCAAAATAAGGTCCAGAATGAACAATGCAGACATTCCTGGCTCTAAAATAACATTTTCGTTGCTCATTAGTCATGTCTCCAGGCCCCTCTGATATTACTCTTGCTTTCTATTTTGAATTTTTATTCAAACAAAAAATAGAAGTGTAAAGTAAAAGGACACAAGTGCAACTAATGTGACATTTTATTGTGGCAACGTTTCACTCTCCAGGAGCTTTATCAAGCCATTACAAACAATACATGGATACAGAGGGTATATAAAGGCTCAGAGTGAGGTGCAGTACTAGTGAGGCACCATTTAGATGTTCACTAGTGGTAGTAGTAGTAGTAGTAGTGACAAATGTAGTAGTAGTAATACAATATGGTAGAGCAATTAATTTGTACATGAGTAAAAGGATATAAAAGCTATTACTTGGGTAACAATAAAATAGGTTGGACAAATATAGACTGGAAAGAGGCAGCTTGTTTCAGTGTTCACTCTCTGTAATGTGCTTTGTGTAGTATAACAGGAGAGACTATGTGATGGCAGGGTTTACTGTTTTCAGGAGGATTCTTGCTAAGACTTCAGAGATGGTGAAGCTGCCATTGTTTTGTTTAATTGTATTCGAAACAGTGATCAGTGCTGATTCGAGGAACTTGCGTCTGCGGAAATTAGTTTCTTTAATCACTAATTGGGCGTCTCTGAATTTCATGAGATGATTGGTAGAATTTCGATGTTGTACACAGGCGTTGTTCAAGTTATCGTTCCTACATGCGTAAATGTGTTCATTGAGGCGGTTGTCGAGGTTTCTTGTTGTTTCACCTACGTAAATCTTGTCACAGCCTCCACAGGGTATAGTGTAAACTCCTGCGTTGACTGGTTCGTGGTGCTTGGATTTTGTTCTGGTTAGATCCTTTATTGAAGTGCTAGAAGCGATGGTGACTCTGGTGTTAGCTTGTGAAAGTACTTTTGAAACGTTCAGTGCAACCTGGCTGTTGGGTACCTCTGCACTAACAGTCGATGGAAGGAAATGGGACACGAATCCCTGATAAACAACTTATCGTCACGCACCTTAACCGACTATGAGAAACAAGCACTGAGTCTGGGACTCAAATTTACCACCAACATAGGCAAACCTAACTGTCAACTCAATCTTGTTACCAGGAACCATAGACACAGTGACAGCAACTTCCAGAAGGGTTATATACAGGGCCTTCTCACTGCAGCTTTTTGTGAACCTTCTTCTTCTAATCTTCCTAGACGATACATCACTGCCCTTAAGGCCCTTTCCCAACGCCCCCCAACATTATCGTCACCACTGCCTAAAAAAAGAGGGGGAGCGTCATACTAAACACCAGAAACTACAACCTAAAATGATGGCCCTTTTTGAATATCAATCTCATACAACCCATCAAAACTCAACAGGGAAAAAACGCTCCCCAAAGACTTTTTTATAAAAACCAGACAAATACTCAAATGCCAGAGAAGGGAAAAGAAACTTCGTACTTGTACCAAGCAACCCAAACCAGACACATTATTTTTTTCCCAAGCCCAAAAACACAATATTCCTCTCAGACCAAACACGTCGGGAATAGCATGTTCCACACAAACACCGGAGTTCTTGCCAAAACATTTTTCCTGCTTCTGGGACCATCACCCCCTTCATTTTAAAACCCAGGCGACCTTCTAAAACCGCATCCGAAACCCTCCATCCAAAAAAAACTAACATTTTGGGGATTGATTTTCCCTCTTCACAAAATACCAACCAAAAAAGCCATCGGGTTTTCTCGATGAAACCCAAATCAGGACCTTAATTTTCCTCACCTCCCGGGAGATTTGTTGACTTGTTTGAACTCTGTTTAATTTCAACTGTTTTTTTTTTTCAAAAACAACTCACAAACAAACCACGGCGGGAAGGGGGCCCCCATCATGCCGCCCCTAGCCAACTTTACATGGAACCCCTAAGCCGAACATTTCCCAACACATCCCTTCAACGTCCACTTGGTTACTTACGGGGAAAACCCCGTAATAACCCCCCAAACTTTTTGTGTACGGAATCTTCAGGCAAGGCTAAAACCAGTTGAACCGGCACCCATTTTAAACAAGAAGAAGAGCCAATGACAAGCTACCTTTTCCCATGTCCTCACACAAAGAGAAAACAACCTAAATTTCCAATTTTATCGAAACCCACCAATAAAAAGATTTCACACACTTCTTTTTCCGCAAGAACCAAACCAAAAGGGCATAACATGGGGTTTTTCCAAAGCATACCGAAAATTTTAGTCCTGATTTTTTCAGGAATAACAAACTTTTCACCAAACTTTCACTGAGCACATTTTCCTTCCCTTTTTTCAATAAAAAGACTGAAGAAAAGAACTCTTCAGATCATTAATTCTCCACGCCCCAACACCACCCCCCCAACAAATTAAAATTTTCCCAACGCCAGGGGCACTGAACTTTCAAAAGTACTTTCACAAGCAAAACCAATCGCCATCGCTTCAGCCTTCAATAAAGGACTAACCAAACAAAATCCAACACCAACCGTCAAAACCCGGAGTTTACACTAACCCGTGGAGGCGTGACAAAATTTAAGAGGTGAAACAGCAAGAAACCTCGACAAAAACCCCCCCCTCAATGAACACATTTTTCCAGTAGGAAAATAACTTTAACAAAGCCTGTGACAACACGAAATTTCTACCAAACACTCTGAAAATTTAGAGACGCCCAAAAAGTGATTTAAAAAAACTAATTTCCCAACGCAAGGCCTCAAAACACAACACTGTTTCGAATACAATTAAACAAAAAAAAACAACACTTTACCACTCGAAGCTTAGCAAGAATCCCCCCGAAAACAGAAACCCTGCCATCACATTGTCTCTCCTTTATACTACCAAAGCGCATTACAGAGAGTGAAAACGAAAAAAGCTGCCTCTTTCCAGTCATATTTTTCCAACCTAAATTTTTTTTGTTCCCAAATAATGTTTTATATCCTTTTTTAACCAAGTACGAATTAAATTGCTCAAAAAAATGTATTATCACACTTTTGTCATACAAATACACACAACCATAGGAACACAAATGGTACCCACTAACTGCACCTCCCCCTGACCTTTTTATACCCCTTGCCATGTTTTTTTGTAATGGGTGATAAACCCTGGAGCGAAACATTGCACAATAAAAAGTCACATTATTGCCTTTTTGCCGTTTACTTTACATATTGTCGTAATTTCTACCAACTTATTACAAAAAAAAGAAGACTTTCAATTTTGCAGACTACTGCAATACTGAATAAAGTATAAAAACACAAAAAATCATACTGCTATTAAAATGGGTAGTTGGACATTTATTGGACAATGGCATCATTTGTTTACTTTTGAACATTGGCAAAAATCAAACATTTCCCCTACTTTGAGCTCCATTTCTAGGTTCTTTTTATAGTAAAATCAATCAAAATTACCTCTATTTCTATGATATGTTTTCCATTCTATCAAATGAGACCAAGGAAACGAGAATACACCCACAAATACTATACGAAAATAGACCACAAAGTCGGCATTTTAATGAACCCTTTCAGGGTCCAAGGCCCAAATCTGGAGTCACGCACCAGTGTCCAAGAATTTTCAAAAAAAAAATTTGTTATTTTTTCTTATGAAATCGTAGAGAATCTTTTTGTGAAGGTAATAAAACAAAAAGTACGAAATTTGGTGGAAAATTGACGAAATTATGCTCTCGCGAATTTTGATGTGTCAGCGATATTTACGAATCGGCGATTTTGCCGACTTTGACTCCCATTTTAGGCCAATTACATTATTCCAATCAAACCAAATTCTTAGCTATTTCACTAGTATTACTTCTATTCTATCGATTGAGCACAAGAAATCGCCAAGTCAACTGTTTCAACTACAAAATAAAGTGATCGGAAATTGTTAATTTGGCCAATTTAACACAAAGTTCAAAATATTCCAATTTCAAAATAGGGTCCAGAATAAACAATGTAGGCATTCCTGGCACTAAACTAACATTTCCTCTGTTCATTAGTTATATTTTGAGGCTTTACAAATAAATTCCATTTTGATTTTTTTATTCACATAATGAATTTTTATTCACACCAAAAAAATAGAAGATTTACTGTTATGCAATACTGTAATAATTGTATAAATATCATCACCATATTTGTGAATGTATATTAGACCCACCAGCTGACGTGTATTAGACGTGTGAGGTCGTTTGTTTACTCTTGAATATCGGCAAAAATTTAACATTTCCGCTACTTTGAGCTCAGTTTCAAGCCATTTCCAGTGCTAAAACCAATCAAAATCATCTCTATTTCTGTAATATGTCTTCCATTCTATCAAATGAGACCAAGAAATCGCAAATACAACTATAAAAAACATGCGAAAAAACACTGCAAAGTTGCTGTTTTAATCGAAAAATCATGATTTCAGTTTTTTTCTCTCATTATACACAGTGTGCTGCAGGATCTGTTTTATGTGGTGCACACATACCACATAGATGTATTCTCTCATATCTAGGCCCAAATGTACCACTCACAGTTTATCAGAGTGAGCTGAGCTCATGGCGTAGATCTACGGTTTGGACACTCACCGTAAAGCCGTAGATCTACGGGACGGACCCTGAAAGGGTTAAAAAAAAACGATCGTTTTTTTTTTCTCATGCACTGCGTGCTCCAGGATTTTTTTTATATGGTGCACACTGACCACACAGACCCATTCTCTCACATGTGGGCCTACCAGCTTTCTCCTGCTTGATTTGAAGCCGCTAGAATTTATGAGTATATATACGTCAAACATGGTACCTCGTAAGACGTATATATACGGCCGTGACAGTCAAAGGGTTAAGTGACAATTTTATTTAGTGAAGCATGTGACAATAGAGAAAAAAATCTTTTTAGTTGAGTATGTTGTGTTGGTAATTGTGGAATATTGTACTATACTGACATATGTTTCTATTGCAGACGTATTTTGTGGAAGACTACCAGGGTGTGTCTTGCCAGACACTATTTCTTCAGTACTTCAAGAAAGGCATCAGCTGTTCTTCTTGTGAATTTTTAACTAGCTGTTACTAATTAAACAATTTTGATTTTGATATTGGGAATTCTATCTAAAAATGCATGGCAGTTAATTCTTTGAGGGTTCGTTTTGTAGTTCTATGACTTTTAAGCTGGGATCCAAGCTGTAGTACTACATCATGAGCTCAGCTTACTCAGATAAGCTGTGAGTAGTAAATTTGGGCCTAAATATGAGAGAATGCATCTACGTGGTAAATGTGCACCATATAGAACAAATCCTGCAGCATGCAGTGCATAATGAGAAAAAAAAAAGTGCAACTGTGTTTTTGGATTAAAATAGCAAATTTTTGGTGTATTTTCATATGTTTTTTATGGTAGCATTCACTGTTTATTGGTCTCATTTGATGGAATAGAAGATGTATTACAGAAATGACTTTGATGGATTTTAGTACTGAAAATAGCTTGAAATTGAGTTCAGAGTAGTAGAAATGTTCTATTTTTCCTGATATTAGAGGATAAACAATCACATCACGTGTGCAGTACACATCAGCTGGTGGGTTTAATGTGTGTTGCTGAATGCACTGATATTATTTATACAATTATTACAATATTGAATAAAAGTAACTTTTCTAGTTTTTTAGTGTGTATAAAAATAATTTGTGAATAAAAAATCAAAATGAAATTCATCTGTAAAGCCTACAAATGTAGCTAATAAGTAGTAGAAATGTTAGTTTAGTGCCAGGTTCCCTGCACTGATTATTCTGGACCCTATTTTGAAATTGTAATATTTTGAATTTTGTGTGAAATTGGCTATATTTCCAATTTCCAATCACTTTATTTGGAAGTTGAAATAGTTGAACTGGGCAATTTTATGTGCTCAATAGATAATCTGGAACACATACTAGTAAAATAGCTAAGAATTTGGTCTAGTGGAACTATGTAATTGGCCAAAAACATGACTCAAAGTGGGCAAAATTGCCAATGCATAAATATTTCTGACACAGCAAAATTTACAGGAGTATAACTTCATCAATTCTTTATAAAATTATTTTATTTTATTACATTCAGAGAAAGATTCTCTATGATTTCCTAAGAAAAAAAATAATTTTTTTTAGACCCTGTGGGGAATTTTCAGACTGGGGGTCTGAACCCTCAAAGAGTCAATAAAAGAATACAGAAACATTTGTTTAAACACAATAGCAAATAATAATAATAATAATCATAGTAATAATAATAATAATTATAATAATATTGTTGAGTGTATCTGCAGTGTTCTAGTGCATATATTAATCTCTTAACACAAAACAAAAATTATGATAGTGTTTTAACAAATAATATTAACTTTAATAGTGCTCATAAGTAGGAAAAGTTTTGCCTAAATAAATCTTAACATGGGGATATGTTCATAAGGAAACCATGTGTTCAGTGTCCAAAATAGTTAAAAAAATCATGAAATAGAGATGTGAGTATATAAGGAAGATTAACAATACCTCTGTTGTCTGACTAAAATATTTTAAATAAAATACCTTCATTTAAAAAATATGGAAAAACATAAAGAACATAAACTATATGAATGTTCTGAGTGTCTGAAATGTTTTAGTAAAAAAGGGAATCTTCAGACACATGCAAGAGTACATACAGGAGATAAACCATATCATTGTTCTGAATGTCTGAAATGTTTTAGTAGAAAAGACAGTCTTGTGAAACATATTAGAGTACATACAGGAGATAAACCATATCATTGTTCTGAATGTCTGAAATGTTTTACTGAAAAATGCAATCTTGTGACACATATGAGAGTACATTCAGGAGATAAACTATATAAATGTTCTGAGTGTCTGAAATGTTTCAACAAAAAAAGCAGTCTCGTGACACACATGAGAGTACATACAGGAGATAAACCATATCAGTGTTCTGAGTGTCTGAAATGTTTTAGTGTAAAAAGCAGTCTTGTGAAACATATGAGAGTACATACAGGAGATAAACCATATCAATGTTCTGAGTGTCTGAAATGTTTTAGTGAAAAAAGCAGTCTTTTGAAACATATGAGAGTACATACAGGAGATAAACCATATCAGTGTTCTGAGTGTCTGAAATGTTTTAATCAAAAAAGCAGTCTTGTGAAACATATGAGAGTACATACAGGAGATAAACCATATCAATGTTCTGAGTGTCTGAAAAGTTTTAATCAAAAAAGCAGTCTTGTGAAACATATGAGAGTACATACAGGAGATAAACCATATCAATGTTCTGAATGTCTGAAATGTTTTAATCAAAAAAGCCATCTTGTGATACACATGAGAGTACATACAGGAGATAAACCATATCAATGTTCTGAGTGTCTGAAATGTTTTAATCAAAAAAGCCATCTTGTGATACACATGAGAGTACATACAGGAGATAAATCATATCAATGTTCTGAGTGTCTGAAATGTTTTAATCAAAAAAGCTATCTTGTGATACACATGAGAGCACATACAGGAGATAAATCATATCAATGTTCTGAGTGTCTGAAATGTTTTAATAAAAAAAGCCATCTTGTGATACATATGAGAGTACATACAGGAGATAAACCATATCAATGTTCTGAGTGTCTGAAATGTTTTAATCAAAAAAGCAGTCTTGTGACACACATGAGAGTACATACAGGAGATAAACCATATCAATGTTCTGAGTGTCTGAAATGTTTTAATCAAAAAAGCAATCTTGTGGCACACATGAGAGTACATACAGGAGATAAACCATATCAGTGTTCTGAGTGTCTGAAATGTTTTAGCAAAAAAAGCAGTCTTGTGAAACATATGAGAGTACATACAGGAGATAAACCATATCAATGATCTGAGTGTCTGAAATGTTTTAGTGAAAAAAGCAGTCTTCTGACACACATGAGAGTACATACAGGAGATAAACCATATCAATGTTCTGAGTAACAAAAAAAGGCACAATACCGTGACTGGAACAATACACAAATAACCCGCACATAAAAGAGAGAAGCTTATGACGACGTTTCGGTCTGACTTGGACCGAAATTAAGACACATGTGCGGCATCTGGGTGTCTTTGTTGTGGACATTTCGCCATCCAGTGGTTGGCTGGATGGCGAAACGTCTACAATAGGGATGCCCGGGTGTTGCGCATGTGTCTTAATTTCATCTTGTGGGTATTATATACCATTCTTGTACTACTACTACTACTACCACCACCTCTTCCTGCCTATATATAGCCATCCTGCTCCACTTCTGGTTAGTGTGACTTTGTAAATGGTCCAAGTTGGACCGAAACGTCGTCGTAAGCTTCTCTCTTTTATGTGTGGGTTATTTGTGTAATGTTCTGAGTGTTTGAAATGTTTTACTGAAAACAGCAATCTTGTGACACACATGAGAGTACATACAGGAGATAAACCGTATCAATGTTCTGAGTGTCTGAAATGTTTTAATAAAAAAAAACAATCTTTTGACACACATGAGATTTCACCTGGAGTTTACCTGGAGAGAGTTCGGGGGTCAATGCCCCCTGCAGCCCGGTCTATGACCAGGCTTCCTGGTGGATCAGAGCCTGATCAACCAGCCCGGCTGGTCAGGTACCGACTTTAGGTGCTTGTCCAGTGCCAGCTTGAAGACTGCCAGGAGTCTATTGGTAATCCCCCTTATGTATGCTGGGAGGCAGGTGAACAGTCTCAGGCCCCTGACACTTATTGTATTATCTCTTAACGTGCTAGTGAAACCCCTGTTTTTCACTGGAGGGATGTTGCATCGTTTGCCAAGTCTTTTACTTTCGTTGTAAGTGATTTTCATGTGCAAGTTCAGTACTAGCCCCTCTTGGATTTTCCAGGTGTATATAATCATGTATCTCTCCCACCTGCATTCCAGGGAATACAGATTCAGGAACTTCAAGCGCTCCCAGTAATTCAGGTGTTTTATCTCCGTTATGCGTGCTGTGAAGGTTCTCTGTACATTTTCTAGGTCAGCAATTTCACCTGCCTTGAAAGGTGCTGTTAGTGTGCAGCAATATTCCAGCCTAGATAGAACAAGCGACCTGAAGAGTGTCATCATGGGCTTGGCATCCCTAGTTTTGAAGGTTCTCATTATCCATCCTGTCATTTTTCTAGCAGCTGTGATTGATACAATGTTATGGTCCTTGAAGGTGAGATCCTCCGACATGATCACTCCCAGGTCTTTGACGTTGGTTTTTCGCTCTATTTTGTGGCCGGAATTTGTTTTGTACTCTGATGAAGTTTTAATTTCCTCGTGTTTACCATATCAGAGTAATTGATGTCTGCCTGGAGCCTTGCAGTATCTGAAATGGAAGAGACTGTCATGCAGATTTGGATGTCATCTGCAAAGGAAGACACGGTGCTGTGGCTGACATCCTTGTCTGTGTCAGATATGAGGATGAGAAACAAGATAGGAGCAAGTACTGTGCCTTGTGGAACAGAGCTTTTCACCGTAGCTGCCTCAGACTTTACGCTGTTGCCTACTACTCTTTGTGTTCTGTTTGTGAGGAAATTATAGATCTATCTACCCACGTTTTCTGTTATTCCTTTAGCACTCATTTTGTGCAATATTTTGCCATGGTCACACTTGTCGAAGGCTTTTGCAAAGTCTGTATATATTACATCTGCATTCTTTTTGTCTTCTAGTGCATCTAGGACCTTGTCGTAGTGATCCAATAGTTGAGACAGACAGGAGCGACCTGCTCTAAACCCATGTTGCCCTTGGTTGTGTATTTGATGGGTTTCTAGATGATTGGCGATCTTGCTTCTTAGGACCTTTTCCAAGATTTTTATGATATGGGAGGTTAGTGCTGTCAGTCTGTAGTTCTTTGCTATTGCTTTACTGTCCCCTTTGTGGAGTGGGGCTATGTCTGTTGTTTTTAGTAACTGTGGGACGGCCCCCGTGTCCATGCTCCCTCTCCATAGGATGGTAAAAGCTCGTGATAGGGGGTTCTTGCAGTAGATACACTAGATAAACCATATCAATGTTCTGAGTGTCTGAAATGTTTTAATCAAAAAAGCCATCTTGTGAAACACATGAGAGTACATCATCTTTCTTTCAACAAACCGGCAATATCCCACCGAGGTAAGGTGGCCCAAAAAAGAAAAACGAAAGTTTCTCTTTTAAAATTTAGTAATTTATACAAGAGAAGGGGTTACTAGCCTCTTGCTAGTAAATAAACAAGAGCAAGAACTAGAAAGAAAATAGAAGAAAACCCAGATGGGTGTGTATATATATGCTTGTACATGTATGTGTAGTGTGACCTAAGTGTAAGCAGAAGTAGCAAGACGTACCTGAAATCTTGCATGTTTATGAGACAAAAAATGAGCACCTAAAGTCAGTTCCTGATCAGCCGGGCTGTGGCTCGTACGTTGGTTTGCGTGCAGCCAGCAGCAACAGCCTGGTTGATCAGGCTCTGATACACCAGGAGGCCTGGTCACAGACCGGGCCGCGGGGGCGTTGACCTCCGGAACTCTCTCCAGGTAAACTCCAGGTATCAGTGTTCTGAGTGTCTGAAATGTTTTAATCAAAAAAGCAGTCTTGTGAGACATAAAAGAGTACATTCAAGAGATAAAACATGTTAGTGTTTAATGTTTCAGGAATATTTTAGTTATGAACTCATCAGAATATATAAAAGGGATATACTCTAACAGTGTTGAGAGTGAAATATGTTAATGAAATGTCAGTCATATAAATCAAATAAGTTCATAGAGGAGATAAGTTGTATTAATGTTCAGAATATCTTATATATTTTATAAAAAGATCAGTCTTGTGTACTCATGAGAGCTAATATAGAGTATAAACAATATATAAACAGTGGACCCCCGAGTTTTGTGATTAATCCGTTCCAGAGAGTCTGCTGAAAGTCGAAATTGCCGAATTACGAAACGATCTTTCCCCATAAGAAATAATGGAAGTAAAATTAATCCATTCCAGACACCCAAAAATATTAAAATAAAATTTTTTTTTTTTCAAATTAAATAAAGATTTACATACTGAAAACAATGAGAAATAAAGTACATACATATAAAAAATAATAATAACATTACACTTACCTTTACTGAAGACTTCTGGCCTCTTCAAGGGGGGCTTCTTGCTGTGGTGAAGAGGCTCTTGGTCTGAGGAATTAGACCTGTTGGTCTCCTTCCTCAGACCGAACCTAATTACCCCCCAATCCCCCCTCTTTATCCCATCCTCCCCTTTTTCCTTTCCTCCTCCTCCTCCCCACCCCTCCCTTTTGCCCTTCCTCTTTTTGGCCTTTGGGATTTCTCCCACAGGCGCGTTAGTTCCTAGGTAGGGGAAAGGATACCGGGGTCCATCCCATTCCGTTGAGGTTCTTGGCGGTGGCGTAGTTTGCCATGGAATCTGGATCGCCTGGGGATGTCCCGATCCCTCTCCGGTATCCCGGAGTAGTTTTGTGTGTCTTTCAGGCGACGGGTGTATCTCTGGGAGCCACCTTTCGGATTCCGGGGGTGGTGGCCGATCGAAGTATGCTTTGTGGTGGATATCTGGCTGCCCTCTCTTTTGTCCACCGAGGTAGCTCGGCAGATGTGAGGTTTCTATCCCGGATTGCTGGTTTACTGGCATGAAGGGTAAGGTATGGCACGGGTTCCATGCTGCATCTGCGCTACTAGCGGTGCTGAGGTCCTCTTGGGCGTGGAGGGAGATTTCCGGCCCTTTCATTCCTCCTGGGAACTATTCCTCCCCGCTAGCCCCTTTTTTTTATTTTCTTTTATTTTTATTTTCTTTTCTTTCTTTTTTTCTTAAAAACAAAAAACAAAGGAGTAACCTAACCATGGAAAAACCCACCCATGAACCACATCCTCGGGCCCCTTCTTGATCCGCACCCCATTCTGACCCTCCCTTGTTTTTAACCCACTCTTGGGACACTCCTGATGCCCCTGTCCCTTGCGGTGCGTTTCCTCACCCGCTTCAGTCCCGGGGCTTCGCGACTTTTTCGATTTGTCTGCCCTCCGCCCATTTGCTATGTTTCTGGCCTCTTCCTCTAGGGTACGGCAATTTTTCGAATCGTCAGCCCGTTTCATGCCGGCCCAAATTTGGGTCCTACTCCTAAATCCCAAACATCAATTCCTGATATGCCCTTCGTTACCTTCCCATTCTACCGGAGAAGCCCGATACATCATGCACCCCCTCTCCACGTCGTTTCGTCCACCAATGGACTAAATTTTTTACTTTAAGACCGATTTTCTTGGCCTATCTTTTGACCATAGTATTGGAAAGCCCCTGCGTCATGTTGGTAAGATATTTCTTTTCATCTCTCAAGAGGGTATGCGCATCATCCTGCCAAATGCTACCCAAGTCATGATCTTTTTCCTTTCAAAATCAATACTACTCCTATCACTTTTGAAAAACTTTTTCCTCAATTCTTGTAGGGACTGTCTTTCTGCCCCTTTCCATAGTCCAACAGAATTTCCAGTCTGTGGCAATAAATTCTTAACACTGGAACTCCAGGATCCCCCAAATCCTAAGTAACATTTTATGTTTTTTCCTGCCTGTGGGCGGAGACTTTTCCCCTTGAAAAAGTAGCCGTTTAACTTTTGACACCCGAAAACCCCCGTCCTGTATATTCGCAGGACATTGATTAAAAGTTCAAAAAGGTGATACCTACATTGCAACGTGTAGAAATTGCTGGCGTTTTGGCCCCCCGCAAAAATATTGCAGATCATAGCCAAATGCCCAGTTGTGGTGCCGACGACCATTCTAATAATTTTTGCAGTAAACCCTCCATGCTCCCTTTAATTGTAATGAAGCTATCCTTCGTACTCCCCCGTTGCCAGGGTTTCTTAAAGAAGTGAAATCTGTTTCCCCAAAGAGGCAGAAGGTCTCCCTTTGCTATGGCGTTTTCTCTTTTCCCCCTCCAAGGGGGAATACCCCCTGTTTTTTCTTGTGTTTCAAAAAATCCCCCCCCTTCTGGGGGGCCCCCCTTTGCAGCCTCCTCTTTGTTACCCCTTTCCCCTTCCCCTCTGGGTCTAATCTTTTGCTGTCCTTGGCTCGATGCCCGATCAACTCAGTCTGTTCTCAATCTTCGCGTCCTTTCCCCACAACCCCCGATCGACAAGACCTCGTACGACACCTTTACCAATCGCCCCCTCACTTCTCGGTCCAAAAAATCCCATTGCTCAAATCTTCTTTGCCCCCTTTCCCTTTCCCCTTTTTCCCCCCCCACACTTTTTCCTTTCCGTCTCTGTCCTAGTTCTTCCCCCCTCTCGGCTCTATTACAAGTGTGGAGATTCACCCTCCTCCTCGTACTTGCCCTTTCCCCCCCTGTCCCCCCCCAAATTTCTCCCTCTTCTGCCCCCCGGGGTTTTTGCCCCTCCCGTCCCCCCCCCCCCCACTTCTCTCCCGTCCCCCACACTCTTTCGTCCCCCTCTACTTTGTACAGTCCTTACTGTCCCAATCTTTACTCACCCTCCTCCTTTTACCTCCAGTATGGTCTCCCATACATCTTTGAATTCAGAAACACTTCAAGCCATTTCAGAATATATTGCAGAGACTAAACCTTCAATGGACATTGATTCTCCTCCTGTTCCTTCTCTTCCCTCTCCTCCATCTTCACAACTCCATTCTTCACAATGCTCCATTCCTTCGCTGCTTGAATGTCTTCCAATGCCACCACACGTTGACTTTTCTAACCCCTTAGTCCATAGGTGCCCTTCCCTACGGATTCCTGGTATTTTCTTCATCGCCAATCATGGCCTATTTACAGTGGAATTCCGCGGCCTCAGGGGTATCGGGGTGAGCTTCAGATGTTGCTTTCCGGTTTTCCCTTTGGTGCTTGCTTACAAGAACCAAAATTACATTCAGCTGTTTTCCAACCTATCTCGGGCCCTAAAATTTTTATTGTTTTCCCTTCAGATCCTTTCTCAGATGGGCCCTTTTAAATGAAAGTGCCCTTCTTCTACGCAATGATTTCCGTATGTCAACTATTTGTCCATACCTTGCTGCATTACATGCAGCCCGTATCCACTTAAATAAGTAGTTTACAATATGTTCTTTATATTCTCTCCTTCTCGAGCATTTTCTATCCCAGACTTTGCCTTTCTTTTTTCCCATCCTTACCACCTCCACTTCTGTTACTTGGTGATTTTAATGCCCACCATTTCCTCTGGGGAGGTCTCATTGGGACTCACGTGGCTTTCCAGTTGGAGGCTTTTTCGCCTCCACCCCCCTCCATGTTTTAAATACGGGTACTCCCACCCATTTTGACCCTCGTACTCATACTCTCTCTTGCATCGATCTATCAGTCTGCTCTTCCTCCACTGCACTAGACTTCTCCTGGTCTGTTCTACCAGACTTACATGACAGCGATCATTATCCTATCATTCTTACTTCTCCTTCATACTCACCACCTTTCCGTAGCCCTTGCTGGCAATTTGATTGGGCAAATTGGGACCTTTACTCGCAGCTCACTGCTTTAAGTGAGGTTCCTTCTTCATCCTCCATTGATGAGCTCCTACACCTCTTCTCACCGTCAGTTTATACCGCAGCTTCTCATTCTATACCCCAAACCTCAGGCAAGCATTCTCAGAAGTGCGTGCCTTGGTGGTCTCCTCCTTGTGCTCGTGCAGTACGTTTGAAATGCGCTGCATGGGGCAGGTATGGATACAATAGAACCAATGAGAGACTTCTTGATTTTAAGCAGAAGCATGCGATCGCTCGCCGTGTCATCCGTGATGCTAAACGCACTTGCTTCCTCTATGAGTGCAGTCTGGAGAAAAGTGAGGAAATTGAGTGGTAAATACTCTCCTGACCCGGCTCCTGTTCTACGGGTCGCCGGTATTGATGTAGCAAACCCTCTTGCCATTGCCATTGAAATTGGCACTCATCTGGTCCGTATTTCCCTGGGGCTCCATCTATGCCCCTCGTTTCTTTCCTCAAAGTCTGCCAGAGAGTTAGTACCCTTGGACTTTTCTTCTCTCAGAGAAGAACAGTATAATGTGCCTTTTACACTTCAGGAACTAGAGGCAACACTCTCAGCTTGCCGATCATCGGCAGCTGGGCCTGACGACATTCATATTCGTATGTTATAACATTTACATCAGTCAGCCCTTGTAGTCCTCTTACACCTCTTCAATCTTATTTGGGCACAAGGAGTTCTTCCCCAGCTGTGGAAATCTGCCATTGTTCTCCCTTTCCGCAAGCCGGGTACTACAGGACATGATGCCTCCCACTATCGTCCCATCACTCTTACTAGTGCAGTTTGCAAAGTGATGGAATGTCTGGTAAATTGACATTTAATGTGGTATTTAGAGACAACAGTCTCTCTGCTAGTCAATATGGCTTTCGTAAGGGCCGTTCTACCATAGACCCCTTACTCTGCTTGGATATGTATGTTCGTAATGCCTTTGCAAATAATCACTCAGTTATTGCCATATTTTTTGACCTTGAGAAGGCATATGACTCAACTTGGAGATATAATATTTTGGCCCAAGCCCACTCCTTAGGCCTCCAAGGCAATCTACCATCCTTCCTTAAGAACTTTTTAACTGACAGACACTTCCGTGTTCGAGTCAATACAGTGGACCCCCGCATAGTGACTTTAATCCGTGCTAGAGGGCTGATTGTTATGCGAAATGGTCGGTATGCGAATGAATTTTCCTCATAAGAAATAATGGAAATAAAATTTAAATTTTTGCAAGCCCCCCAAAAGTATAAAAAAATTTTTTTTACCACATGAAAAAATACTTTTCCCCAAACACAAAAGAAAGGGTCATGCACAATAGTTTTGATAATTTCTTGGGACAATTAATTTTTGTGCAAAGTACTACTCTACTAAATGAAGAATAAA